TCTTATTTGATCATTTTTTAATTGGGTGTTTAGGATATACTCGTTGAATTGAAGTAATCGAACCTAGAGAATCAAAAAGAATCACCGCTTTGACCATATTGGTATCATTAATAAACTTAATTGCTCGATAAAGAGCAAATAATTCGGCTGTGTATATGCTACAGTGGGGAGATAGTTGAAATAGATATTTACTTGAATTGATCACAAAAGCGGCACCAACTCCATTGCTAGATTTTGAAGCATCTGTAAATATTTTGGAGAAATTTTCATAACTTTTGAGTATATTTGACAAAATAGTTTTTATTTCTGATGGACGTATTTTCGACTTATTATATTATTTGTTAAAATTTACATTACACTGTGGAATATTGATTGACCATGGAATATGAGGATCGGTGATTTATGGATCGAATATTTCAGGAAACTCAAAGTTTAATTTCTTGCAATATGTTCTATTTCTTTCATAGTATGGTTGTCTTCGTTTATCATTATAATTAAAAATTTATAAGTTAAGGGATGGCTCACCAAGTTCAGCGTATATGCTCTTAATAGGTGTACTTCTAAATGCTCATAGTATGATTATTAGACCATTATTATAAATTGTATCTAGAGATTTTAAAATAGACTTTCTGACAGAACAGTAAGTAATGCATAATCCAGTTTAGACCTGATTAACGATTTGTATACCAATAATATTGTATTTTGGTCGGAACCCTATTTCCTGTTTGATAATGTTTTTAAAATATGGATTCTCTTATGGCAAGTTAATTGTAATTGCTTTATATGTTCTTGCCATGTCAGTTTGTTGTCTAAATGCATTCCTAAAAGTTCCATCCATCTACTGTTATTGGTTTCCCGTATAACGTAAGATTTGACGCAGTACTTACATTTGTTGTATTTGCAAAAACCATGACTCCTGTTTTTGCAGTAGAAAATTCAAAGGCAGTATTCAGAGACCATGTTTCCAGTTTATAGATAAAGCTTTGTAAACATTTTGTCATACTATGTATATTTTTTTCTTTTGTAAATACCACTAAATCGTCAGCATAAATCCGTGCTTTTAAAGGTTTTTCTATGCTTTTTAAAATATCATTAATCACTAATAGGAAGAGTGTTGGGCTAAGAACAGACCCCTGTAATACTCTATTTGTTAAGCAGTGAGTTTTCGAGCACGAATTGGAAACTCTTACCCGAAAAGTCCGATTGATTAAAAAATTATTGATGACCGATAAACAGTGTCCCCGGATATTTCACTCATACAAATTTTTAGAATCCTGTGTTTCCTGGCAGTATTAAAGGCATTTTTAAGTCAAAAAATTTCGCGGTACATTTTCTATTAGTTGCAAACAATTCCATAATATCGCTTTCGAGTTCCAGAAGGTTATCAGCCGTTGATCGATTTTGCCTAAATCCATTTTGTTCAGTAATCAATAATCAATTTTGTTCCAATGTCCACATCAATCTACTTGAGCGAAGATGTAGGTGTTTGTCCTTACACCTTTGTCCTGATGGCTTTGTTTCGCGCACCAGTAATAGGTCGCTGGTTTATTTTCCCTTGGGGAACAAGGTTTTTCCTTAGGGAAATAGGTTCACTTTATATATATATTTCTTTGAAGGACCACCCAGAAAACTGGGAAAAATGAAGATTCGAAAAGAACGTTTGAACAAATATATTTGA